AAGGTGAGTGTCCTGCTCACTGTCCTGTCTCCAGCGGTTCCAATGGGCTGGGCAATTGCCTTGCACACAGCTGATCTGGTTTTGCTCCATCACCCCATGTGGTTTTCTCATCCCATTTGAGTCCACCAGGAGTAATCCCTGAGCAGAAAGTCAGGAGTAAGCTTTGAGCGCCACCAGGTGTGCCCCCCATTAACCAAAACCAAGCAGAAATGTGGTGATAACTTGTAGGCCTTTCCCAACCAAAGACTGAACTCGTAGAGTGTACGGAACTACAGAGATTCAGTCTGGCTGCCACATCCAGCTCTCCAAAACAGTAAGAGAAGAACCATGTGCTTGTGTTCTCTTACCTCTTCCTCCGCCGAGATGCTTGGTGTTTCTGCAAAAACAGTCTGATGAGAACATTTTCTTTTCATTGTTGTTGGGGTTTTCCCCACACAGACACATTTAGTTTTTATTTGAAGACCGTACCCGGCAGTGCTCTCCTCCCCTCTCGGAGAGCCCAGCAAGCTACCGAGAATATCCCACCTGCATGGCAGAGCCTGGCAAGCTCCCCGTGATGTATTCAATATGCCAAAAGCAGTAACAACAAGTCTCACAATGGAGACGTTACTGGTGCCCACTTGAGCAAATCGATGAACAACGGGAGGACAGTGCTACAGTGCAGTCTACCCGGCTGTGCTCAGGGCTGATTCCTGGCTCTGCACTCAGGGATCACTCCTGATGGGCTGGGAGACCATATGGGTTGCCAGAGATCGAACCCAGGTTGACCGCAGAACAGGCCATCACCCTACCTGCTTTTCTGTTGCTCGGGCCCAGAAATAAGAAATTCACTACCTAACCCACGTCGAAACTACATGAGGTGGGTGGGTCAGAATCTTCTCTGGCCACGCCTTTGTCTAGGCTGCAGTGACCACGTGCCCTCACTGCTCTTCTGGGCCGTGGCAGGGTGGTCAGGACTCCTCCCTGCCCCCACAGTCTTGGCAGCACTGTGCCTGGGTGCTGGTGTGCCAAGCTGGGTCCTGCCAAATCCGACCCCTTCACTGCCCTCCCAGCTTTCACCAAGGCAGGAAATTGTAGCCTCAGTAAACAGTGAGTACTCCAAGTTCCTCTACAGACTAGAGCCTTCAGAGCTGGACTCAGTACTGCAATTCATGAAAATAGAACCTACTCTATTAACTAGGTTTGAATGGACGTGTTATGAGGGGTTGTGCGCGTTTCCTACCCGGCCTGCCTCTGCCTGGCCTCACTCCACACGGGAGGCAGCCTGTACAAACCGAGGTTTTCCCGGCCCTTTGCAGTTGGCCTGATGGTGAATCCTGGGGCGCCGGCAGGAAAGAACAGAGCCCAGAAACAGCAGGATGCTCAACTCTGGTCACCCTGATTTCAAAGGGCCTTTTGGCAAAATCTCATGAATTGCTCAGCTCTGGGGTGTTGATTGGACAAACCCAGCTGGGACTTTGGGTCTGGGTTGATTATAATGAAAATGAAATATGTAGCAGACATGGCTTTATTTCCAAAGGTACCCTGAAGTCACCTTGAATTTTTTCCCCCACTCTTTTTTTTTTTTAAAGGGGTGGGAGGGTGCACCCAACACTGGTCAGGGCTTATTCCTGGGTCTCTCTCAGGGACGGACACTCCTGGCTCTGCACTCAGGAATTACTCCTGGTGGTGCTCAGGGGACAAGAAGTAGTGACGGGTTTGCCACATTCAGTGCAAGAGCCTTACCCGTTGTATTGTCTCTTCAGCGCCCCCTTTTGTTGCAGGGCGGGGATGGGGGGGTGGGGATAGGCTTACCCTGTGGTACTGGTGGGAAGGAAGTGGTTACATTGCTTGGGGGGGGGGGTCCTTCCTGCAGATGCTCGGGGGAACCATGTGGTTCCCGGATTAGACCTGGACCTCCCACATGCAAGGTATGCCCTTCAGCCCTTTAAGCCACATCCAGGTCTCACCACTCTTGACTTTTTCTGTATGATCTTGGGAAAATAACTTCCTCTGCTAGATCTGAGTGGAATCTCCCCTCCCTGCAGATTGCCTGTTGGCTTTTAGCCGGGTCCAGAGGGGCACTGGCTTGAAGACCTGCTGGACTCGTCCCTCACGGTGCTGGCAGTGGGGCTTCTCACACACACACATACCCGTGATCTGGAGGAGGGGCACAGTGACTAGGGGGAGGGCCCCACGAATGAGGAAAAGGACCCTTGGCCTCAGGCCTTCTGTCCCCCCCACCCCCCCTAGAAAGGTGGAGAGAGAAAGGAAGAGGATCAGCAGTTATCTGCCAGGCACTTGCTTTTTTGCCCAGTTTTATTGTTAGTGTTGTTTGGGGGCCACATCTAGTGGTGTGCATAGCTTACTCCTGGCTCTGCACTCAGGAATCTCTCCTGGTGGCCCAGGACACCAAATGTGGTGCCAAGGATCAAGTCTGAGTTGGCCACATGCAAGGCAAGCACCGTACCCACTGTATTATCACTCCAACCCTGCCCAGTTCTTTTTCAAAAACAAGCACCTTATTCATTTTGTTATTTGGGGTCGGGGAAGTTGGGGTGCTCAGGGGAGCTTCCTGGCTCTGTGCTTCAGAGTAAGAGCCTCAGTCCTAACTATGACCTTCCCCCACCCCACCCCCTGCCACACACACACACACAAAGTTCATAATACAGCTGTTTCAGCGTTCAGTGTTCCAACACCAATCCCACCACCCACGTGACCTTCCTTCCACCAGTGTCCCCAGTTTCCCGCTCACCCACCCCAAAGCCTGCCCCCTTAGTAGGCACAAACAAATTTACTTCATATTGCTTGTTTCAACCAAATGGCAAATGCAGTTCTCAGAAAATAGGTCACCGAAAGTCAATTTGTGGTAATTGTCCTAACTCACAATGGTAACACCATTGTCTAAGGATCTGCTGAGCCGGTTGGTGCTGGCTGAGCCTTTCTTGGTTTGGTTTTCACTCACTGATCCTGGTGGGCTTCTACTGAACTGTTCCCTAAAGCACTGTCCAACTGAGCTGTCAGTACTGTGAAATTTGGAGGCATGGAACTGGGCGATGGGTTTCGGGTGTGGGAACTATGGGGCCCCTCCAGAAGGGAGGGGGTCTACACACCCTCATTCTGAGAAGACCCTGGGTTTTCAGCCCCCGAGAACCATCTCCCGAGATTGATTTGGCAGCTTGATCAGAAAAGCTGTTTTGTTTTATTTGGGGGGGTGAGGGGGAGTTTGAATTTGGGACCACACCCAACACTGCTCAGGAATTACTCCTGGCTCTGTGCTTAGGGACCGCTCTGGCAGGTCTTGGGGACCATATGTGCTATCGGGGATCAAGCCATGGTCAGGGATCAAGCCCAGGTCAGCGGTGTGCAAGGCAAGCACCTAACCCCTCTACTGTGGCCTTGGGCCCATAAGCTTTTGCATCTTAAGAGAAAAAAAATTGGAAGTCAAATATTTTTTCAGACTTGGAAGGTAAGTTTCAGCAGGGTGGAGCTGGGGGTGGTTCTAGCGCTCTGTGTACTCTGGGTCCCCTGAACCGCCCCACACAGGGCGGGGCACTGGCCTGCGTGTCTGGGTGGTTCCTCTATTGCTGGATGCAGCCTGGGAGGTTTGCAGGGGCAGCCCTCGACTGGGCGGGGACAAGGAAAGCCAGAAACTGCGAAGCAGGAATGGTGGGGAGCAGGCAGTGAGGGGCCACCTGAAAGTGGAGGTTCATTCACCCTTCTCTTGACTCCTGCGGGGGTGCTGGGGGGGTGGGGCAACTCCCGGGCGTGTCAGCAGGGTCCTGGGCGGCTGCCCAGGTGCGGTCATTTGCCTGAGTGGAAGGGAACCCCTCCCTCTGCTCTCAGCACCGGGCGCGGGCGCCCGCCTGTGTGTACTCCTCGGCTGGGTGTCAGATGCGCGTCTTTGTCTGCCAGCTGGAGCCTGGCTGGAGAGTTGTTGATTTTCTGATGGTCAGACCGGGGCTCCTTACTTGCACTTAAGGGAGAAATTATCCAAGCCCTGGTACAAAAGGTTCTCTTTTCATTTCTTTGGAAAAAGAGCAGTGAATGAGCTCATTATCACTGCAGCCTGAAGGAGGAGGAGGGGAGGGCGGGGCAGCTGCTTCCTCCTCACTGCCCCTGGCCACTGTTTCCTGGAGTGGGGCTCGGATCTGGCCTGGGGTGACCAAGCCAGATGGCTGGGACAGGTGGTCCGTGGGGCAAGAGAAGGGGAAACGGAGACATTCGGATGCTCTGAGCCCGGCTTTCTCAGAGAGAGGAGGAGCGCGAATGAGAGGCCTGGGAGAGGACGAGAGCTGAATGAGCTCGGCTGAGGCTTTGTGTGCAGGAGGCCCGGGTTCCGTCCCTGGCGCCCCATGGTCCCCCAAGCGCTGCTGTGCGTGTCCCCACACCTAACAACCAACAACACCAGGAGCAACGGGGCACATGCACAGCCTTTCTCTCCCCCGACTGCGGGCCCGCTGGCCTGCAGGGAGCAAACAGTCCTCCACTCGGGGTGTTGTCCCTCCCTCACCTTGGCATCCAGGAGGGTCCTGGGCCTGGCGCTCTGCCCCTGTCAGCTCACGGACGTCACACTGCAGAGCCAGAGGCCATGCAGTATGATTTCCGTGTCGGGTGTTTGGGATTTGCCTGGGACGGTTCTTGGCATGAAGCTGGCGAAGTGTGCTCTGCGGGAGTTAAGATCTAGCCTGAACAGAAAATGTGCCAGTGGGGCCACCTGGAGCCCCTTGCCTGTGTCTGCCGGGGCGGGGGCAGTAGACAGCTGCCGTGGAAGGGAGGCTTCCTGAGGCCAGGTCACAGCTCACTCCATTCAGAGCAGGTTTGCACATTCGCTTGTTCTGTGTCCAGAGAGGATCTGTCAGAGATCCTGAATGGCACAGGCTTCCCGTAACCTTGTGGGTTGGTTCGCACCTGGGAACAATCGTAAAGAACCTAGCGGCCCGCCCTGGGTGTGTTGGTGACTCGCAGGCAGTGTTTAACCAACTTCACGGCCTCTCCTTCCTGTTCCTCTTTCATTACAGATCGAGAAAATCATGAGCTCCATTGGAGAGGGGATTGACTTTTCTCAGGAGCAGCAGAGGATCTCAGGTATGGTACCAGGTCACTGTTTCCCCCCAGCCCCAGCCTTTGGCTTCTTGGTGGCACGGGCTTCCTCTCTGATAGGCACAAGAGACACGCAGGGGACGAGAGGACTGGGCCCAGGCGTGTCCTGCGCACCACGTTCAGGGTCTCATGCATCTCGACAGCCCGTTAGCTATTATTCTTAGGGTCATGATTCTTTTTCCATATAGTAGAGGCAAAAGTCTGTGAGTTAAATTTCAGACGACTGCTTAGGAAGCTTTTTTAAAATGTCACTTATTTCACAATTGTTCATGTAAATGTAGGCTTTGTCAGACTGGCTTTAATTGGTGTTGGTCGGCCTGATCCCCAGTGGTAGCAGGGCGGTGGCTCACTTGGCTTTGTGAATCCTCATGTCTGTGTCTCCAGTTTCCACTCGGTCCCTCTACTTCGGGTCGTTGCTTTTTTGGGCGTTCTTGACCGTTTTAAGCCCTTGGGTGAGGCGTTTCCTTTGGAACAGGGAAGAACTGGGGGCAGGGAGTACCTCTGTGCCATTTTCCTTCATGACAGAGTCGTGAGTGTGGTCCCTCCTGTGGTGAGGTGGCATTCTAGGTATCCTGCCCCAGAAGTGGCAGGGATACTGTTTCTACCCTGGGTGTGGGGCACTTGTCTGCACTGAGGGATGGGGTATCTGGTTTACTGGGAGTACAGACCCCTCAGTTTCCTCCTGGAGCCTGGCCGGCAAGAGGGCGGGTGCCCGGGGCTCCTTTGTGCCGGAAAGGTGCTCAGGCCAGGGAGTCTCTGCAGAGAATGTGAGCTCTGGAGCCCAGCTGCACTGTTCAAGGCCCGGTGCTAGGCACGTGTGTATCTTGGGCAAATCCTTAATCTCTCTGAGCCTCCAGTTTTAAAACATCTTATAAGTGTGTTGGGAAATGAGTAAAATACTCAAAAACCTGCGCCCAAAAGGTCCATGATAAACACAGCAGTGAGGCTCATGAGTTTGTGTTTAGGGTCTGTACCTAGAGGTGTTGCCCATCTGGGAGCCATGCCCAGTGATGACCCAGCAGTGCAGACCTGATGGTTTGATGTGAGCAGCCACCAAGGCCTGATCACACCCAGGGGCCGCAAGGCCACACAGTTCTTGGGGACAGCATGTAGTTCCAGGCATTGAACGTGGCACTGAACTTCACACATAGCAGGCGTCCTGTGCCTTGTCTTGGCCCTCACGCTCGCTTGCTTTGTTGTTGAGGGTTTACTCCTGGCTTTGTGCTCAGGAATGAGTCCTGTGGGGCTGGGGGGGGGGGGGGTTGGGGGGGCTATGTGGTGACTTCAGTCGAGACACCTGTAGAACAGGGTGTCAGCCCCCTGGGTTGTCCTCGTCCACTCTCCGGACTGGGTTCCTCAAGCCACTGTGAAAAATGCCTCATTTTTCTCCGCGTTCTGGGAGAGAAGATGAGCTGGCTTTGGTCACTTCAGGATGTTACTGCTGCCCACGGAGGCGGTTTTTTTTGGCTGAGAGCCAGTGGCCCTGTTTCCAGACAGGGGCCACCTCAGACCAGCTTCACCAGGGTCAGCTGCTTCTCGGCACAGAATCTCAGGCCTCTGTCAGCAGTGCTTTCGGGGAGCCAGACATGGGCGAATCGCGATTCATCGGGTCGTTTCCCTGCACCTCTGTGCACCGAGGAGCTAAAATGACTCGCACGTGCTTGGGAGTCGTGCTGCCCTTGGGCCCTGATGCCTCAGGACGTGGAGCCCCTCTGGAAAGGTCCTTCTCCTGGGAGGGGGACGCGGTGCTCTCTCCTAGTCTGCCAGTCCCTGCCGCCGACTCTCATCCCCCAGGAAGTGGACTTACTCGGAAAACTGACTGCATGCAAGAATTTCACCGCAGCTCAGGAATGCCAAGAACGGGCACATGGTCTCCCCATCACCCCCATTTGTTCCCACCATCTTGCCCACGAACTCTTGTCCTCCATGTCCTAAGCAGGAGGGGACTTTGGCCGGGACGCAGGGGCCAACCACCTTCATCCCCCACCAACCAGGATTCTTGTCTGGTTTGAGTGGGGCATATGAGGGTTGAAATTGTCCTCAGGTTTAAGATGTGGGGAGGAGACCTGGGCTCGGGGGTCCCCAGCCGAGAACGGACCAGGCCCTGCACCAGGTGCCCTTAACTGGCCACCACATGGCCTGGCAGGATAGGTTGGCCTGTGTCCTGGCATGTCCTGGCAGCCTGGATGGCATCTATGTGTGGCCCAGGGGCCTCTGAGCTGGCAGCCCCCGAGATTGCCACGGGACCCCAGCCAACATGTTTCACACACCCCCACTGCTCTGAGGCACCCAGGGAGGGTTGCCGCCTGCTAGCCCCGGGTGCTCCGGCTTCTGTTCTCCATGACCTGTGGTCACAGAAGCGGAAGGGGCCGTCTCTCATGCTTTTGCAAAGCCAGCCTGTGTCCACCCCTTCAAAGGCAGCTCCCTGGGGGTCTCTCTCTGCCCACTCCAGCCAGCAATGGCCTGTTGGGCTCTGGGGACCTCCCAGTGTTTTCAGAGGGTGACAGTGGCCCCTGCGTCTTTGTCTCAGTCCGTCTGTGACCCTCTTTGTCTGGAAGGCGGTACGGTGGCTTTCAGTCCCTTTGTCTGGTCGCTCCCCTCCCTCCTCTGTGTTCTCCCCGGCGCCTGCTCCAGGCTCCGGCTGGACCCTGCAGTCTGGCCCTTGAGGCTATGTGCCCACCTGAGGAGCAGCCAGTGACGTCACTGTGGTGTGTCTCCCCCAGCCACCCCTCGGGTGGCGGGTGGCGAGAGGGCACCAGGAAACCTGTGGCTGAGTCCCTGGGCAGCGTCCTTCCTCTGTGCCCTCTCCTGGCCGTCCTAGAAACTGTAGGTCAGAACCGTTGGCTGTTCCTGCTCTTCGCCATCCACTGTCTCCAGCCCCTGAGCTGGAGGCAAAGTTTGTTTCCATCTTGGATGTGCACGTGCCTCGGCGCGCACCCTGGGAAGTCTGTCCTGTCCGACTATTTTATTTTTTTTTATTTATTTATTTTGACACTGCTAGGAGCGGACACTGCTCTCTCTCTCTCTCTCTCTCTCTCTCTCTCTCTCTCTCTCTCTCTCTCCTCTCTCTCTTCTCTTCTCTTCTCTCTCTCTCGTCTCTCTCTCTCTCCCCGGCAACATCTGCTCCAATGTCCGATCGCTGATGCATTTTCCTGAGCGTGGCGGGGAGGAGGGCGGGGAGGGCTGGGAGGGGGGGCCAGACATTACGAGGGGGAGCAAGGACTGTGGGGCCGGCAGCGGGCAGCGTGGAGCCCAGGAGCCCAAGACAAAGCCCTCCGCTGCGGCTCTGCGAGCGCGCACATCTCCAGCCAGCGGCAGGCGGGACCACAGACGCCCGGCGGGGGGACGCCAGGCAGGAATGAATCAGCAGCCGGGGCCACCGCACTTCCTGGGCGCTCGGGAGCCCGCCGCTTAGGCTCTGGAAGCAGAGTGCCCCTCTCAAGGGCAGGGGGGACACGCGTCTCTCCAGACTCCCCGTCTCGGAGTGTCGCTGCAGCGTGCGTCCCTGAGCACGTCAGTCCTGCAGAGGACGGGAGAGAGGAAGCCCGGGACAGTGGGTCAGTCGGCCGTGCGGGGCAGAGACTGCCCGGAGCAGCAGGATGACTTCCATCGTGTCAGGAGTTGTCTGGTGATGCTGCAGCTGCAGCCGCTCCCTCCCGCCTCGAGTCTCCCAGCCTTCCTGACTCTTAGCGCCTTCTTTCATCCGTTCTTTGCCGGTGAGGACCGAGGCAGTCGCGGGGGTCTTGGGTGTTCCCCGGCGATCATCCCAGGCTGGCCCCTGGGGACGGACTGAACTTTGCTCCTCCATCCTCCCCTCGGAGCCCGGCAGTGCTCCCCCCCTGCTCAGCTGTAGAGGAGCGTCAGGATCTGACACTTCGGGGAAGACAGTGACTGCCCTTAGTCCGCGCCAGAGCGAGAACGGTACCGTGCCGGACGACGTGAACAGACTCAGCCGCCACAGCTCAGCTGGCGGAGGACCGCTTCCTTCCTTCCTGCCTGCCTTCCTTCCTTTCCTTCTTTCTTTTCTTAATCTCGTTGGGTCTTGCCATCTTTGGCCGAGAATTGGGTCTGCCGCCTCCTTTCCACCTGCACAGGCAGAGGCATCCCAGGGACATCAGAGGAACATGCGTGCCCAGCCCCTGAAAACCAGCCTGGCCCGGGAAGCCCGCCCGGTGGCCAGGGCGCGGGTCCGGCTGGCGTCCCGCTCGCCAGCGGCCCGAGTGTAGCAGTTGACAGGGCTCCCGGCCCCTCGGAATGCCATGTGGTCGTCCCAGCCGAGCCGCCCCTGAGCCGGTGCCCGAACCCCGGCCCCGACCAGCCCCTCTCCACCTCAAGCCTCCGAGCACGCAGGGCTGGTGGTGGCCATGGTTTGCTTATTCCGGGACTGCTGGGGGAAAACAAGTAAAAGTCTCCTTTCTCCCCTCTGCCGCGGGCCCCGCTGCTTGGCTTGCATGTGCGGGTCCCCGCGGACCGCCGCCGCCGCCACTTCCCTCCCGGAGCCCTCGCTGTGTGCCTGCGCCCCTCAGCTGCATGAAGATGTGTGCCCGCGCCTGACCGGTGCCCGCTGCAAGGTCGCAGGACGCGCCCCTCGCCCACGGCCCTCCGGGGGGCTCCGGAAGTTGCATGGATGAGAGGAGCGCCCCCCGCCCCTCCTAGTGCCTGTGGGGGCCAGACTGTCTGAGACGCCGCCTCCGTGGAAGGCTGACGCGGAGTTCACCCGCCCGGACGCCGCTAGGGCTTGGCGGCCCCCCCACCTGTGGGCCGGGCCCGTGCATGAGCCGCCTCGGCGGGAGTTGCACAGACCGAGGGGCTGCGAACGGGCAGCGGCGGTGGCGGCCCGAGCCGGGGGCTGCCCTGGGCCGGGGCACGGAAGAGGAGCCGCGGGGTCCCTCCTCCCCCCGCGCTCAGTCTCTTGTACATAGTTTGGCTGCTTGATGGTAATGACGATGATGTGGCAGTGCCATCTGTCTTCCTCTGAGTGCCGCTGCTACCGCCTTAATGGTTTTTCCCTTTTCAAGCGTCTGCCGATTCCTCTCTCGTCAGGTTCGCGGTCGCTGGAGCAGAGCGTCGGGGAGTGGCTGGAGGCGGTGGGGCTGCAGCAGTATGAGAGCAAGTTGCTGCTGAATGGCTTTGACGATGTCCGCTTCCTGGTGAGTGCCCCCCGGCCGCGCCCCTGCCGGAGTCGCAAACTGTACGTAGCCCGGGATCCTGGGGGAGAGCTGGGCACGGAGCCCGGCAGCGGCTCTGGGACCGGTGGGCGTCGTGGTGGCAGGCCGGCCAGCTCTCCCGTGGGGACCCCCAGTCCCACTGCGGTCGGACTCCGACCCTCCCCCTTGGCTGTCAGACTGTGGTCAGGAGTGTCAGTGGCAGACAGAACCTGCCTGGCTGAGGGGGACTCAGGCCAGGCGTGGGGCCGCATGAGCTCTGTCCCGAGCCAGGGACGAGGCTGAGGTGAGGAGGCGTTGGTTGCTTTCCTGAGGGGCCACTCTCTACCTCCTTACGACACAGGGGGCGGGGGGGGAGTGGGCAGGAAAAGAGGAGGAAGGGAAAGAAAAAAGAAAAGGAGAGAAACCTTGGTGCCTCACCTTGGGCTCCCTCAGAGGAAGGGCCTGGCCGGCACCCTGAGCTTCTATCAGAAAGTCGCCCACACAGGAGGGCCGTGAGCAGCCCTTAGGGGCAGGGCCGTGCCCTGTGGGCCTGGGGCTCCCCTCAGACTGCTGGCATTCTCGGGGCAGGCACTTAACTCCGTGCTGACGGTGCTCGCTGACGCTTCTCATTAGCACTCCGTGGTGCCAAGCATATTCTTCATGTTCGCACACATTGGCTCACTAAGTGTCTAGCTCGGGGTCACTCTGCCAGTAACTGATGGAGTCAGAGCGAGTGTCCCTGGAGCAAGCCCTCTTCTTACTGTGGCCCTGGGCACGTCACCACTCACGCGCCTGGTTGCCCCTGCCGCTGCCCGCTCTCCCCCCTCCCCTGCCAGCCCGTTCCTGCTCTCACGCTTCTTGGGCGCATGGCAAGGGCTGTTTCCTCTGAGGTGTCCCTGAAGCTTCCCCCTCACTCTGCCCTCTGTAGGATGCTGGTGGTTCGCCCACCCAGGGAGCTGCCCCCTGGCAAGGTCAGCCCACCCCCATGGCCAGGGCCAGGGCAGGCTGTGGGGTCTGCGGCAAATCTCCCCCCAGAGCCAGCTGGAGACCAGTTATTGCTCAGCTTTTAAAAAATGGGGGAAAAAAAGCCTATTTAAAAATAGCAATTTATTTTTCTTTTTAAAAGTTAAACTGAGTATAAGTATGGTTTCATCTGGCCTGACCCCTGACTCACACGTTCCTTGGGGAAATTCAACAAGCCCAGGACAGAGGTGGGGTTCAGCCAGAGGGCTGGGAGGGGTGCGTGATGTTTCGGGGCTCCCCTCTCTGCGCACCCCTTTTCTTCAGACTGGCTGTTAGATGGAGGCCCTGGACGTCACAACGTCCCTGCCCTGGGCTGCCGAGCTCTTGATTTGTCCTCCCAGGCCCTCAGACCCCTTCCCTGCGCCTCTGTGCTCCTGGGCCAGAGACGAGCTGGGCTGGGCTTCTGGACGAGTCTGGCACTGGACCAGATGCCCAGCCCAGAGCAGGCCCCTGTTGCAGGGAGTCTTCTCCTATTTGGGACACTCACGAGGGGAGGGAACGAACAGTCATAGCTGCTAGGCCCTTCCTACTGCCCTGGGTACAAAGTGTCCTTTGTCACTCCGCTTTCTGGCGGGCACTGCCAGGTGCAGCCCCTCAGGTGCCCACAGGGGCCGGAATGGCTAGGCAGCACACCCTGGGCAACCACATGGGAATTGCCAGATGGGCCGGAAGGCTAATTAAGTTTTAGCAGCCCAGAAAAGCGAGGGAGAAAACACGCACGCCCGAGGTGGGGGCGTTTTTGTTTTGAAACAGTCTCTCCTGGCGTCTGGTCCGGCTTGTCTCCCACGAGCTGCTCTGTTGCACCACTGCTTGTTCTGGTTTTCCTTGGGCTGTGAACGTGTCCTTAGCTGTGTCCCAGAGACTGTGTGACAGGAATCAGTGGCATCTTCCGAAAAGTGCCGCGCTCTCTTTCTGAATAGAAGCATCTTAGAAGAGCTGCTCTGAGTGTCAGGGCAAGAGTTGCTAGGGGAGGAATGAGTGTTTTCGTTTGGTTTTGGTTTGGGGGGTCACACCCAGTGATGCTCAGGTGTTATTCCTGGCTCTGCACTCAGGAGTCTCGGGGGACCCTGTGGGATGCCGGGAATCAAACCTGGGTCAGCCACGTGCAAGGCAAACGCCCTACCCACTGTGCTATCACTCCAGCCTCAGGAATGAGGGTTTTGTGGGGCCCGTTGCTCCCTCTTGACATGGTCTGGCGGCTTCCTCACGTCCACAGACAGACAAGCAGCCGCTGCTCACCCTTGACATTGTGGAAGTTGTTTGTGGTCCCCAGATCTGTTTCCTCGTGGCTCCTTGGTGCCGGGTTCACCCTTTTGGCCACCCTTTGTGGTCAGGTCAGGGTGAGAAGCCGGGTGCCCCGGGACCCTTCCTGGCTGCTGCAGCCAAGGCTCTCCCAACGTGCCGGCTAAAGGAGACAGGCAGGTCCTGTAGTGAGCTTCGTTCACGCTCTCTCGCCTGTGGGCTCCCACGGGAGCTGCCAGGCACTGCCCAGGCTGACGGGGCTGACAGGAGACCCTCAGCGATCAGGCAGGCAGTTGCCCGGCCAGCTGCTGGCCAACCCTCCGGCTCCTCCCGGGCGGCCAGCTCCTCCTCACCACAGCGCCTGTCCACAGGAAATAGGCTTTCTCAGGAGAAGGGAGGAAGCACACTTAATTAGCGCGGAAGGAAGGTAATTGGCAGTTGGCAAGTGTGCGGGGCCGGGCGTGCTGGTGCCAGCCTCTGTACCCAGACGCTTGCTGAGCGGGTGCCAACACGGCACCATGCACACATTCAAACAAAAGTTCCGGGGCTCGGGAGCGAACAGGCTGGAGCACGGCACGTGCGGACACTGAATTTGCTCCCCAGCAGCGCTGAGCCGGCCAACACAGTTAACCCTCCAGCTCACGTAAGCTGAGTGGCTCCCGGGTCCCGAGCACTGCCTGGGGAGCAAAAAGCAGTTTTCTAAGATTGATGCGGGGAAGCCTTCACTGTGGAACGTTAAGCAGAAAATTCAAAACATTGAGATGCAGAAATTCATATGCCACGTGATGATTCATTCCCAAACAGCATCTTTGCACAGGAGGTGCGGGGAGGTGGGAGTGGGGGTGGGGTGTCCTCCAAAGCCTCTGTGGTGGTCAACCCAGTAAGATTCTTTTCCTGGGGCTTTGTGTCCTTCCTGGGGGTGGCAGAGCGGTTCTGCATTCCCTGCAGTGAGTGGGTCTGAGCCCAGAGCGCAGAATACGCATGTGGGTGTCTTCAAGGCTCCTGACATCCTGCTGGGATGTCACCGCCCTCAGCAGGATAAACCACAGCCAGGCCAGGCACAGGGACTCGTGCTGTCACAAGGACAGTTCTGGGGCCCCACTGCAAGTCCACCACAGGGTCCATGAGGACAAGAGGATGCGGGTGAACTTAGGGGGGCTGGGACCAGGAGAGGCAGTGTGAGCCGGGTAGACCTCGCAAGTGCAGTGACAGCTCCCTGGGGGTTTCCATGATGGCTGGGGGGGAGGCTGCAGGGCCTATGTGGGGCTCCCCAGAGTCAGTGGAGCTGTTGGAGGAGTGGTCTGCCCGCCTCAGCTCGCCAGCACCGCTGTGAGGGTCAGGCCAGCTGTGGAGCCCTCTTCATGTGCTCTTACTCTGCCTCTGTCATTACTGGGGTGACCCTCAGCACAGCGGGTAGGGAGTTTGCCTTGCACGCGGCCGACCCGAGTTCGATTCCTCTGCCCCTCTCGGAGAGCCCGGCAAGCTACCGAGAGTATCTCGCCCGCACAGCAAAGCCTGGCAAGCTACCCGTGACGTATTCGATATGCCAGACACAGTAACAACAAGTCTCACAACGGAGACGTTATTGGGCCCACTCGAGCAAATCGATGAACAACGGAAGGCTAGTGCTAGTGCTAGGGGGTGATCGAACTGGAATTATCAGGGGCTCTCGCCCGCATTCCTCCACTGCTGCTCTGGCCCTCTCCAGCCCCATTACGGAATCTGGAAATCTGGGGGTTCTTTTTCATGTCTGCAATCCAACCAACTGGACTCAAGATGGACTTGGATGGGGCTGGAGTGATAGCACCACGGGGAAGGCACTTGCCTTGCACGTGACCGGCCTTGGTTCAATCCCTGGCATCTCGTAAGGTCCCACAGACACAGCGAGTAGGAACTCCCGAGCACTGCCAGGTGCGATCCCAAAAAAGCATTAAGAGGGGCTGGAGTGATAGCACAGCGGGTAGGGTGTTTACCTTGCACGCGGCCGACCCGGGTTTGGTTCCAAACATCCCATATGGTCCCCCGGGCACCGCCAGGGGTAATTCCTGAGTGCATGAGCCAGGAGTAACTCCTGTGCATTGCGGGGTGTGACCCAAAAAGCAAAAAAAAAAAAATGGAAAAAGGACTTGGACTGGGATACGGGCCCTTTCATCGCTTCTGGCCACTGCCATTTCAGCAGAGGGTCTGCCCTGAAGCCCCAGAGTGCAAATCTACATCCCCACGCCAGCAGCATTAGTGAGGAGTGAGGCCCAGAGCGCAGGAGCCTGTGCCTGGTGCCTTTGCTTCCCCAGGCGACAAAGTGATTCAGGGTGACAGAGGTCACCCACAAGTCCTCGGCCCCAGGCTCGCTCTGGCCCTAAGCCTGCCTTTCTACCCTAATAGCTGCCACGCCAGGCAGTGCTTGGGGGGTCTGGGGCCATCCCACACTAGGGGCGAGGGGCCGCCACCTGCTCACTGCTGTCCACTGTTACCATGTGTCCAGGCCTGCCCTGGACAGGGGGTCTGCCCTGCCGCTCTGGGTTGCTCCACCAGGGGCCGAGTTCAGGCAGCGAGTGTCAGAGAGCCGGACTCTGGGGCCTGAGCAAATACAGCGGCTGCCCGCTGGGGGGCTAAAGAGACAGACTGCCGGGTGGCGTGACAGCTGAGTGTCAGTGGAACCGAGCACCATGGCGCCACTTTCCCCTCCTTGCTGGCGGGCAGGAGTCTGGCTCTGCCCTTCCCCAGGTGATGGCGGTGTCCGCCAGACTTCTCGACACTCGTGCCCTGTAGCCAGGCCGCAGGGGTCCACTGCTGCCCAGGGCACATGAGCAAGGATGCTCACGCGGCACTGCCATCCCTCCATGGGACCGGCTGGGGGCAGCCAGGCCAGGGTCAGAAAGGCCTTGCAGGCCCCGGGCCCTGAGTCTGCTCCCTGGCACTTGATGCATCTCCTGCCATTGCCGGGAATGACCCTGCAGACTCCCCGGCTGGGGCCAGGCAGCACCATGCAGGATCCTTCTGTCTCATTGCCAGGAACGGCCTTCCGCTCCCCCACCTCTGTCGTAGCACCCTCTGCGTGTATGTGAATTGTGGGCTACATAAGTTCCCCTCTGCATATACAGTGCTTTTCACAAAGTACCTTTCTTTTTTAATCCCCTTCCTCCTCCGTTCTCCAAAACTTACTGAGAAATTAAGCAGAAGGAAGCGCACAGAGCCAAGGCAGGCCAGCCCAGGTTAGACGGCTCAGTGACGGTGGGTACGCGGGGGACAGCGGCCCCAGAGGCTGCAGTGACCCAGCCCAGGTCAAATGTCTCGTGATGGCAGGTGCACGTGGGACAGCGGCTCTTGAGGTGGCAGTGACCTAGCTGTGGGCTTTGTGCATGGGAGGCCCCTGTTGGTGGGCTTGGAGAAAGCGCCTTCACACAGGCATCAGGGAACTGAGGGCCCCAGATGGCATCGCCCCTGTGTCAGGAGATGTGTGTCTGTGTGCGCTCAGGGCATGTGCCTGGTGGGGCCTTGGAGCGAGGGCAGAGCAGAAGCCGAATTTCCACATTCATGCTCTGAAAGTGCTTGTCCCCTGACACTGTTGTAATGGTCGGAAGTGGGGACGGCCAGACCGGCTCATTTCTGCGAGATCTCATCTCTGCACGCCTCAGTTCCTTCACCTGTAATTCAGGGGCTGGTCTGTTGTTCATCCGGGGGTCTCTGTTTTATAAGACAAGGATCAAAGCCCAGGGTTGAGAGTGTGAAATGGAACCGCCCCTGTAAAGTCTCCCGGTCTGCGTCCTTAGCCACAGGCGGTGCCCCCAGTCCTGCGCTTTGGGCTTCCTCGGGCCATTAGAAGAGCCCACCCCGCCTCAACCTCTCCTCCCCTGGACGGGTGGCCTTGCTGTCCACGTCCCCTCCCCTCACCTGGCCTGCCCCCTGAGGGCTGACACAGCAGAGCAACGTGATGGGGCACCATGGGGTGAGCCTCTGTTCTTCCCTAGAGAAGTGCTCCCCCGTAGGGCGAGCTCAGGGTGTGTGCAGTACCCCGGGGCCCCTGTGTTGGCCCAGAGCACAGCACCCGCTTGGCGATCCGTCCTGCCCACATTACCATCCTGGGAGCCACGCTGGGCACTGGGCAGGCCCTCGGGGCCCTCATCGCCTCCTCCGCTCTCAGGGCTCCAACGTGATGGAGGAGCAGGACCTGCGGGACATCGGCATCAGCGACCCCCAGCACCGGCGGAAGCTGCTACAAGCAGCACGGGCCCTGCCCAAGGTGAGCCCTCACATGGACAGACATACGGCATGGCGGCCTCGTCCCGAGTCTCCCCGTGGGACACCGTGGCTCTGAGCCATGACCCCTGGACCAGAGCACAGTCCCCACGAGGAAGCACAACCTGAGTCTCCAGGTCCACGGGACAGGACCTTCTGCAGACTGAGGGGTCGGCTCCCCCACTCTGGGGGCTGCCCAGGACCCAGAGCGTGATAGAGAGGGCTGTGTGAAGAGGGGGTGGGATGCCAGGACACCCGCTGCCCACTCCCCACTGCCCCGGGGCCTGGCTGGGCAGCGTGCTCAGAGGGCCTTCCACCCCCCATGTCCCACAGGTGAAGGCTCTGGGCTACGACGGGAGCAGCCCCCCCTCGGTGCCCTCCTGGCTGGACTCCCTGGGGCTGCAGGACTACGTCCACTCCTTCCTGTCCAGCGGCTACAGCTCCATCGACACTGTGAAGAACCTCTGGGAACTGGAGCTGGTCAACGTGAGTCCATCCTGAGGGGGGACAGCGGGGGCGGGCATGGGGGGGCAGCAGGACCCCTTCACCCTCACCGCCGCTGTCACCCACCAGGTGCTGAAGGTTCACCTGCTCGGCCACCGCAAGCGCATCATCGCCTCCCTCGCAGAGAGACCCTACGAGGAGCCGCCCCAGAAGCCGCCACGGTTCTCCCAGCTACGGGTGAGTGCGGGGGGCCGAGGGTGGGGGTGGGGGGTGCAGCTGGCAGCAATGTCGTTGATTGCTTATTGATCAGCTGCTCATGCGGCTGCAGTCGGAGGAGGAGGCAGGACATGACCGCTAAGGAGCGGTCAAGGGCAGGGGTATGGGGAGGCGTGAGTCGCAGGTGCAACTGGGGCTGGGCTCCGTGGACGGCAGAGGCTGGGGCGCCCCGGGTCTCCGAGCTCTCGCTCCTGGGGAGAGTGAGGCACAGATCCCGCGTGGTTTCCCTTGCCCTGTGGAGGAGCACCAGAGACTCACACTGCAGGGAATGCACTTGCCCTCGTGCAGCCGAGCTGGGTGTGGCCCCAAGACACACAACATAAAACCCCTCATAGATGAAATGTTGCTCAAGTCAGGTGATTCTGGCTGCGGAAGGGGTGTGTCTGCGCCTCTGGGGACTGTCTTCCCGCAGTCAAAAAGCTGGGGCACAGGTAGACACACGCGTGCATGTGCTCACACATACACACACACACACACACACACACACACTCGACAGCAGTGTTGGAATTCTCGGGCAGAGCATGTATCTGCACAGCCCGGCCTCTGGCGTGGGGTGCGCAGCATTTTCCCCGTGAATCATGGTGCAAGTGCTCCTGTTTCCTGTGGGGTCCAGGCGCAGGGCTTGCACCCGAGTAGGGGCACCGGGTCGCCACACACCCTCAGCCCAGGCGGGCTCAAGAGGGATTCGGACACTCATAGCCCCCGGGGGGCTCAGCGTCTGGGCCCTGCCTCCCGCTCAGGCCTGACCGGCTCGGGGGTCCCCCCTTCTCCCCCTGCAGTGCCAAGACCTGATCTCCCAGACGTCATCACCCCTGAGCCAGAACGACTCGTGCACGGCGCGGTCCGCGGACCTGCTGCTGCCCCCGGGGGACACGGGCCGGAGGCGGCACGACAGTCTCCATGACAGTCTCCACGGACCCACAGGGACCTCCCGCCTGGAGCGCCCCAGAGTGCAGGTGGGCCGGACTCCACTGCCCTGCTGCCATCTGTCCCTGCACTGTCCCCACTGTCCCCTGTCTCTGCACTGTCCCCACACTGCCCTGTACTGTCTCACTATCCCCTACTGTCCCCACACCGTCCCCCACACTGTCCCTACATTGTCCATTGCCTGAACTCAGTCGGGCTGGCCTGGGCTGGGGGGGGCAGAGCCCCCCGCCCCCCATTCCCTCTGGCTGGGACCCCAGGGCTCACCTGAGTTGTCAGGTGCTCAGCCCCCTTCCTGGCCCCGTCCTTCCTGTGCAGGCTGTGGCCCCTCAGCTCGTCCCCGGGGCCCTGCCGGGTGACTGCTCATCTGTCCAGCCGGGCCCGTGGCCTGGGGCTCCCTCCCTCTTCTTGGGCATGGGGTGATGGGGTGTTGTTAGCAGGACTCCCACATTTCAAGACCTGCCCAGTCAGACTGCAGGCCGGTCAGCAGCCAGTCATGGGCCCCCCTCCCCTGGGTCGGCTTCGGCTGCCCTCCTTTCTCCTCCAGACTCGGCCTCTGCTTGACCTGGTTGGGGTGGGAGCTCTTTCTTCAGACAGCCTTGAGTTTTACAGGCTTTTAAAACTATTTTTTCCAGCCAGGACAGTGATTAGACTCTTGCCCCATAGTCCCTTGACCTAGATTTGCTCCCTAGCACCACCTGGTCCCCCACGAATCACTGGGTACAGCCTGGCACCCCCACAACCACATCTTTGGACCCTCCCACTGAACCCTGGCCTGACCAGCTTAGAACTGCTGGGGGGACCCCAGGTCTCCTGAGACTCTCTTGGGCAACGCTCCCCCCCACCGCCACCACCAAGAAAACAAAACCCGATGTCCGTCAGTTTCAGTCGCTCCCTGTCAGGAGAGTTAGCTCAGGCTGGGAAGGGGAGTGGCAGACCTTCCCTGAGTCTTCACCCTCCCTCCTCTGCGTTCCTCCCGGAACCCCAGTGAGGACCCAGATCTCACATCAGGACCACAAGGAGTGTGGCCGGTGGCCTGGAGGGCAGCCATGCCCAGCTCCTGCCCGCATTTCCCCATGCCCGTGGCCCGGCTCACATTGTCTTCCCTTTCCTGCTCTCTGGTCTTGTCCCCGTTGCCACGGAGGCCCAGCACCCACACCCCCAGCCCCCAGCTGAGCCTTGCTTATGGCAGGGCTGGCGTGTCTGTCCCCTGGGGCCCTGTGGTCTCCCCGCCCAGCCCTCTGGACCCCCCGGGGTGGCCCTGGGCAGGCCCACCTGTGACCCCGGCGGTTGTGCAGGAGGAGCCCCGCGAGGCGAAGCTGACACTCCGGCCGCCCCGTCTGGCCGCTCCCTACGCGCCCGTGCAGAGCTGGCAGCACCAACCCGAGAAGCTCATCTTTGAGTCCTGTGGCTACGAAGCCAACGTGAGTCCCGCCTGTCTGCCGTCCCCGGAGGGCACCAGGGAGGGAGGCCTCTGATGGTGGCGCGCCCTTGGGCCAGCGACCTTCCTCAGCCCCGCCCTCGCTCACTCTACAGTACCTGGGCTCCATGTTGATCAAGGACCTGCGAGGAACGGAATCCACGCAGGACGCCTGTGCCAAGATGCGGGTAAGAGGAGGCAGGGCTGGGGTGAAGGGGGGCCGCGGGGCCTGGCCTGAGTCCAGAGGGGGTGCTCACAGCGCCACCCCGTATTCCCCACAGAAATCCACCGAGCACATGAAGAAGACCCCTACCATCGTCCTGTCCATCACCTACAAAGGGGTCAAGTTCATCGACGCCTCCAACAAGGTGCGTGGAGGGCGGGGTCCAGCCCTGGCCCTGTCCCCGGCCAGCTGCGTGTGTCCCTCGGGCCCCACCCCCTCCTTCCTTTCGCCCTGCCCCTCCTTCCTTTTGCCCCACCCCCTCCGTCCTCAGGCCCCGCCCCTCCTTTCTCTCGCCCCGCCCCCCACACCCGGCTTCCTCGCCCTCCTCGTGAGCACTGTGGCCAGAGACACCTCCCCAGAGGGCCTCCGCAGTGGTTCCACCGGTGCGCAAACTGGACAGAGAAGGGCAGTGTGGGAGGGCCCCAAAGCCCACACTCTTGTCCCCGCCAGAACGTCATTGCAGAGCACGAGATCCGCAACATCTCGTGTGCGGCCCAGGACCCCGAGGACCTGTGCACCTTCGCCTACATCACCAAGGACCTGCAGACCAGCCACCACTATTGCCACGTGTTCAGCACAGTGGACGTGGTAGGTGGGCCTCCGGGAGGGCCTCGAGACTAGCCACCGTCCCGCCCTCCCCCTTTCTGCAGCAGGAGATGGTCATGGGTGGGAGCAGGCGGCCAGTTCTGGGGTGTCTCGGTCAGTCCGGCCTTCGTCTCCTTCAGGCCTCTTGCCCACCACCCCGACTTGCCCGCCCTCCGGCTGGGCAGGCCCCTGAGGTGCCCTCAACCCTTCCCGGGGAGCGGTGCCCTCCTGTTTGGACTCCCCCAGATTCCTGCTGTGGGGCTGACAGAGGCTCCCTGTGCCCTGACACACAGCCACAGGCATCACTGGGGCCCCAGATCTTGCAGCTCCCCCGCATCTGAGGCCCCTAGAGCCCAGGTCCCCACTTGCTGGGTCCGTAGCCCCAGACTCTGGGCCTCTCCACACCCGCTCACTGAGGCACCCCTCGGAGGTAGGGCTGGGATGTTGTGCGTGAGGCGGCTTCTGTGCACTTGAGGTTACCATGACACACCCCACAGTGGGTGGGGCTTGACCAGGGGTCACTTTGTCAGAGAGGCACTGGGAAAAGATGGGGGATGGGGAGTGGGGGCGGACACAGTGGTCAGGGGCATGCCCCCATGTGCTCTCAGGTTGGCGTCCTGCCACCTCTTGGTTCCCCCAAGCACCACGGGGTGGCCTGCGTGTCCACACACCACTCACCACTGGCCTGAGAATCGCCCATGCAGGGAACGCACTTTCCTTGCACCGGCCGACCTGGGTTCAGTCTCCAGCCCCCCCACTATGGTCCCCTGAGCCCTGCCAGGAGTGATCCCTGAGTGCAGAGCCAGGAGTAAGCCCTGAGCACCGCTGGGGGTGACCCCAAAATTAAAAGCCTTAAACTCAGATTGGAAAAGATAGAGCAAGTGACAGCTGCTTCCTTCATGCTGGGTGGGGAGAAACCTCTGCCACCCTCAGGCCCAGCCCTCTCCTGGGGACCACCCTGCTGGTGGCTGTAGGCCCCGAGGTGGTCTGCGCAGGAAGTGCCCGTGAGAGCCGGGTGAGGGAAGGAGCGCCCGCTGAGTGGCTTGGCGACTCTGGTGGGCGCCCCACGTGGTCTCGTCTGCAGGCTGCGCTTTCTGCCGTTCCCTAGCCTCTTCCCAGTACAGTGGGACACGAGGCAGCGCACGCTCTTTCTCTTGGCAAGTTCCAGAAGTGGCCCTCGGGCAGCCTTTGAAGACACGAGTCCCCTAGCCAAGCTGACCATGCCCATGGCACGCGGACCCACTCTGTGCTGTCTCCCCCCAGAACCTGACCTACGAGATCATCCTGACGCTGGGGCAGGCGTTCGAGGTGGCCTATCAACTGGCCCTGCAGGCCCAGAAGTCCAGGCCGCTGGGCGCCTCCGCGGCCGACACGATCGAGACAAAATCTTCTAAACCGGTGCCTAAGCCTCGGGTGGCCACGAGGAAGTCCGCGGTACGCCAGCCCAGGGTGTGCGCCCACACGCGCGGGCGGGACTCCTCCCTCCAGAGGCCGGGGACCGTGGCCAGCGGGGGGTGCAGCCAGCCCCCCCCGTAATGCGCCCTGTGTCTGTCTGCTTTGCTCTGCGCCCCAGGTGCCGCCCCCTGACACTCGCTGTTGTTACTGTCACACGTGCACCACCCATCGTCCTTCCTACCTACCGCTGCCGTCTGTTAGTCCTGGAGTCAAGGTCTTTACCCCTGCTGTGTGTCTGTCCACTCTGCCTCCGCCGCGCCTCTTCCTCCACTCCCTCCCACCATCGTGTCTGTGCTTCAGCCCCATTCTCGGCTGTGTCCTTTCTCCGAGAGAGGGTCCCGGTCCGGGGGGACTGTCCCCCAGGGTGTCCGGGCACGTGTGTGGGGCTGAAGCGAGCAGGACCTGTCCCCATGGGAGACGGCTGCCAGGAGAGCCGGTGGGTGCCGCCCCCCCCCCCCATCCCTCATGCGTCCCCTCTTCCCTCGCCAGCTGGAACCGCCCGATGTGGACCAAGACGCCCAGTCCCATGCCAGCGTCTCCTGGGTGGTGGAGCCCAAAGCCGACTCCGTGCGGAGCCTGAGCACCAAGTACGAGACCACTATCTTCTAACCCGCGCCCCCGTCTGCTCGCCTCACTGTGCCTTCCGGTCTCTGCTCTCCTCAACTCTCCTGCCAGCTGCCGCCGCCTCGGCCCCACCCCTGGGACCCACCCTCACAGCTTGTACCTAACACCACCGGACACTGTGAATCCCCCTTGGGTGAGGACAGCCTGGGGGGTGAGTTGCCTTGGAGGTGGGCACCCGCTGTGCCCAGGAAGCCTCAGCAGGAAGGCACTGTGAACCCGGGGGGGCGTCCTGCCAGCAGCCGGGCAGCCCCGTGGCGGCCCCAAGGAGCCTGGCTCTGTGCCTCCCCTCCCCTGGCCGCCTTACCCTCCTCTCCCTCTCCCCCCTCTCCTTACCTCAACTTCCTCTCCCCTCTCCTTCCCCTCCCGTCTCCTCCTTCTCTCTCCTCTTCTTTTCTTTCCTCTCCTCTCCTCGTCTCTTCTCCTCTCTTCTCCCTCTCCTCTCTCCCCCCTGCCCTCTCCTCCCACACTGAGCCCTGCTGGGTGCCACCTAGCTAACTTGTCTGCACCTTCCTGACAACAACCAGCCACTGTGACCACCGGCCAGGCCCCCTCGCTGCCCCCAGGCAGCCCGTGGCCCTGCCCCTCCCTCCCCGCTCCAAGGTGCTGCATCCTGTGGGCCCCATCTGGGCCCGGCCCTCGAAACGGGCTCTCTGGCCCTCTCCCACGGCGCCGAGCTTCTGCAGGCCCCTAGGCCTGGCGGAGCATCCCCGCTGGGGACACAGGAGGGCTTCATGGGATGCCCCTCGCGACCATCAGGGCACCCAGGCCCGGTTCTGGGGCACGGGGGCCCGTGTGTCTCTATAGGGCAGGGGCCGGGGTCAGTGTCACCCCCCCATACCCTCACCCCATGAGGCTGCCTCATACCTCGGGGGGCACCTCAGCGCAGCTCCCGTCCGAGGGGCCCCAGGTCTGCGCAAGTGGCCGAAGGCAGCAGCTCCGTGGGCTCAGGGTGGCGTCTGCTTCCGCGCTCCCTTCCCTCCCCTACCCGCGTGGCCTGTGTTAACTCTTTCCTCCCTCCCCGTGTGTTTGCTTCTGCCAAGCTGAGCCACGAGGAGCCACTGTGCTGTGGAGACACAGTCGTGGGAGCATAGCTCCTGCCGCCGCCGCCACCACCACTACCACCACCGCCGCGCCTGCAGCCTGACGCCGGCTGGGCCCGGCCCCTGCCCCGGAGGCAGCGCCGCGCCGAGACTGGAGCTCCAGAGGGTCAAGAAGGGACTGGTCCTGAACACGGTTTTGTTTTGTTTTTGTTTTTTTTAATAGACAAAAATTTTATAAAACGAACTTTGAACACTTGGCTCACACACCTCTGGGTTAGAACTGCCGAACTTCAGCCGCATGGCCCAAGTGGATGGGGGCTGGGATGGGGCACTGGCCTGGGGGGAGGGTCACAGGTCCGGCAGGAGGGAGGGTGGTCCTGCGGGGCGCATGTCCCCCCACCCACCCAGCCAGCCGGTGGACCTCACTCCGACCTCCCAGCCCGCCTAGGGCTGCTCGAGCCTGCAGGAGCGCGCCGCCCTCCGCAGAAGCCGGGACCCTGACCACAGAGGGCCGGGGACCAGGCGGTGGTCCCAGAGGCGGCGGGGGCTGGCGCTGCGGGAAGGGGACCCTGCGCTGTCTGAGCCGAGGCCCGTGGACCTTCGGGGACCGAGCAAGCCCGGTTCCCGGTGGGGCACTTGTGGGCAGGGCCGTCCTGCACCGGGTTCCCGGTGCACTATCCGGCTGACTGGGATGTTCGGCCCCTGGCCCCTCCGTGGCCCCGAGGGTGGCCGCCCCCGTGCTGAGCCCCTCCCTGCTGCTTGCTTGCTTATGAGCCGTGTGGCCGAGGCACCTGCCTGCCACCCAGAGTCCGGGGCCCGCGGCTCCGAGCTCGAGCTTTCTGCTAGCCCCGGCTCCCAGGGGGCTGCCGCGATCGGCCGGGAAGCTCGTCGGGTGCAAGTGTGTGCGCCCCAGCTGGGCACGGCGACCCCCAGGGTGGGCACCCGCTCGCAGGCCGCCCTCTCCACTGCCGCCAGCCCCCCGAGGGTGGACTCCGGTCCACTCTGGTCCTGGGAGCCGGGCTGTCCCAACCCTGCACTGCTCCCCGCACCCCCCCACCCTTGCCAGCAGGCAGAGACCAGGAGGACCCCCACAGACACTAGGAACTCACGCCGCCCTCGTCTCTGCCTCTCACGCCCGCACCCTCCCCTTGAAGCTGCTATCTCTCCTTTATTTATTCAGGGTGACCACTTGGGGCGCCTCAGCTCGTCCGCTCGGGGTTCTGGTGGACGGGCCTTTGTTTCTATCCTGGCTCTCGGCTCCCCCAAAGCAAGGGTGCCCCATTCCTGAAAGGACCCCTCTGCCCTGCGGGCTGCATGTGGCCACCCCGGGCTGGAAGGGGCTTCAGTGCCCCTCACTGGCCAGCATCTACCAGGAGGGCTCCCCACCCCAGGGCAGGCTCAGCCCACAGTGCTCCCCCGTCCCCAGATCTGGGCCTCTAGCCTCAGGCCGGGTGGGCAGCTCTGTGGCCAGCCTGGAGCTGGTGGGCGACCAGGGGGGGCTGCTGTCCTTGGGGTGGGAGCACTCATGCGCCCTGGGGTGCCATCAGCGGCCACCGCAGAGCGACTGTGGGAAAGTACCCCTCGAGTGACGCAGATGGTGTGGCCAGGGGACTGGATTGTAATAAAATGTTATTTAATCATTGTCTCTGTATTTTGATACTTGAATGATTCCCGTTTGTTTTACTGTACATATCATTGTTAATCTGTCCGGTTTTGTCTGAATTGCCAAGACCGCGTGGTACCAAGCATCCCGGCCCTGTGCAACAGAGACTGACCTCACTGCAAGCGAGAGTGTGAATATTCCCGGGTTCCGACTTGGCTTGGTTATTTTTCATAACTGTACAACTTAGAACAGACTGAATAAATGAGAAACAACATGAAACCATCCTTTCCTTTCTGGAGTCTTTGAGTTGGAAAGTTTCTTATTTCCCAGTGCAAACCTCGACACAGACCCAATACTGGCTCAGAGGCAGTGGGTTTCCTTTTGGGGAAAGGTGGGGAGTGGGGGGGTTTTCCTAGGAATTCGGGGGTGCTTGGGAGGCCTTGCAGATGGGTCAGTCCTACACCTGGAAAGCATGTGCTCCAGCCCGAGGGTCTGGTCATTGTCAGAGCCCCCTCCCCTCCCCTCCTTAGAAACAGCTTGTCTGGGGGCTGGAGAGATAGGACAGCAGGCCTGGTGCTTGCATGGCACGTGCCTGACCCAAGTTCAATCCCCGGCACCTCATATGGTGTCCCTAGGCCCACCAGGAGTGATCTCTGAGCACAGATCCAGTTGTAAATCCTGAACCCCTCAATACAAGAAGAAATAGCTTGTTTGGATGTGGGGGGCCCCGAGGGCGCCTGTGGGCTGTTGCTAGACTCTGCCTCCCAGCTGTGCAGGCCGTGTGGGTTAGGGGGCATGGGAATAGAGTCGGGGAGAATGTCTCCCCTCGGGAACTTCGTGAAGGTTAACCTCGTGAAGCTTCAGACAGTACGACCCAGAAATACCATGTCTGGGCAATATATCCCGGAGATGCAAAAAGGTATAGTAGAAATGACACCTGCACTTGTATGTTCATTGCAGCACTGTTTACAATAGCCAGAATCTGGAGGGAAAAAAAGCCCGAGTGCCCAAAAACAGATGGCTGTTTAAAGAAACCTTGATATATCTACACAATGGAATACGATGCAGCTCTTAGAAAAGATGAAGTCATGAAACTTGCATGTAAGTGAATCAACATGGAGAGTATCATGTTAAGTGAAATGAGTCGGAAGGAGAGGGACAGACATAGAAGGACTGCGCTCTTGGGCTGGAGCAATAGCACAGGGGGTAGGGCATTTGCCTTGCACACGACTGACCCGGGTTCGATTCCCAGCATCCCGTATGGTCCCCTGAGCACCGCCAGGGGTGATTTCCTGAGCGCAGAGCCAGGAGTAACCCCTGTGCATCTCTAGGTGTGACCCAAAGAGCAAAAAAAAATAGAGGACTGCGCTCATTTGTGGAATATAAAGTAACAGAATGGGAGGCTCACACCCAAGGATAGTAGAGATAAGGACCAGGTTTGCTCCACGGCTTGGAAGCCGGCCTCACATGCTGGGGGGAAAGACAACTCAGATAGAAAAGGGACCACCAAGTAAAGGGTGTTTAGAGGGCCCGCTCGGGATGGGAGATGTGTGCTGAAAGTAGACTATAGACCGAACATGATGGCCACTTAATATCTGCATTGCAGGCCACAACACCCAAAAGGGGGGAGGGGGGAGAGAAAGTAAAAGGGAATGTGCCTATGTGCCTGCCACAAAGGCGAAGGTGGGGGGGGGGGATACTGGGAACATTGGTGGTGGAGGATGGGCACTGGTGGAGGATGGGTACTCGATCATTATATGATTGGAACGTAAGCACGAAAGTTTGTAAGTCTGTAACTGTCCCTCACGGTGATTCATTAAAAAATAAATTAAAAACAACAACAATAACAAAAGCTACTGCCAGTGCTGCCAGCCAGGCCATCTGGGAGGCCACCCCAGAGGAGACAGCTGGAGGCAGGTGCTGGGAGGGAGCAGGAAGGGCCGGTACTTAAGGTACTTAAGGTGGGGAGGTTTCGGAAAGGCACAAGCACCCTGAAATCCCCTCTGTTCACCCCCAAGTTCCAACACCCATGGGAGGCTTCTGGGCAGTCTGGACGTGTGACTTTGCAGGAATAAAGCGCCCAATTCGGGCCCCAGCACCACCCCACACTCCCAGCACAGCCGCCAGCAGCACCCACCCACCTGCTCAGCACGTCCCCGGGACCCCTGCATATTGCCCCACCAGCCCCTGTGATGGGAAGGGAGGAGGGAGGAGCATCCCACAGGGGCAGCTTCCTGATGTCCTCCTAGCCCTGCTCCCATTTGTTTCGACCCAAATTGCTAGCACGGAACATTAAGTTGAGTTTGTGTGACATCTTCTCTTTGTTAAAGAACTGCCACAAAGGAGACCCCTGGGGGCAGGAGCTTTCATGGCTTAGCACATGCTTGGCTTGCAGGAGATCCCCACCACCACCACCGAATAGCCTATGAGCATCCCTGGAAATGACCCAAAAAGCAAAAATTTAAAAAAGGGAAAAGGAAAGAATGGCTTATTTTAATCCAATACTTGACTATGTATGTATGAAGAAATCAAATCCTAGGACGGGGACGTTTTTCCCTCTCAGCCCAGTGAATGGGCTGATGGCTCAGAGGCAAAGCCAAGTGCT